GTGCATATGACAAAATCATTGTTGAATAATATAGCACAGGTGGGAGCTCAATAAAAGTGGAGTATTAGAAGAAAACCTTGTGGAATAGAAAGCATTTGAGATGAATCTTAAAGCATAGGTAGAAATCAGTAAGAGAGAAAAAAGAGAAGAATATTACATGTCGGGGAATAATACCTAAACAGGATGAAAACAAACATTTTGTGTTCAGGAGCAATAATTGAATAACCAGGCCAGACTGTGGTTAAATTAGGGTGTAATGAGAAGGCAGTAGAGAAAAGTTAAAACCCATGTCAGGTCTTCTATATCTGTGGCATCTGGACTTCAATTGGTAAGCACTGGAGAGTCATTCAAGGTGTCTAAGTAGGGTTGTAGTGATTCTAATTAGTCGTTTGTAATGTAAGTGAAACAGCTGGAGCAATTGAGAAACTAGACCTAAATTGAAGGCTAGAAAGAAGAGAATTAGATTTTAGAGACATTTTAGAGTAGACAAAACTTAAAGTACATGAGGAACTTCATTAGATACAGAGTGAAAAAGGAAGAAATCAAACACATCTCTCAGCTTGGAGTATGGACGATGGGGGAGGAGGCAAATGGAGAGAGACAGGAAGCTGAAAAGGAGGTGCATGGGAATTGGACCACAGGCTCAAACTGGACCAGCTCTGCAGTTTTACATTGCAGATAGGAGATCATTATGAAATAATTTGCAAATACCCAGACATGCAAGCTTGGAAATCAGATGAGTAAACAGGATTGAAAATGCAATTACATAAATTAGTCACCTAAAATTGATAGAGTTATGGGAATGCATAAGAGTTTTGGGGGAAGGTGACACTTTGTAAGGAATGTGCACATTTGGTTGTCTGAAAAAAATGAAACTAGTGAAGATGAAATTGTGTATGTCTAAGAAAGTAGGAGAGAGACTTAAGAGTGGGCCATCTTGGAAGCTAAGGAAGGGCACGTTTCTCAAAAGGCAAGGAAGCAACAGGTCAGTGTGGTTAAAAACAAATCTCACAGAATTAGAATTGAGTAGAATCCACTGGATTCAACAATTAAGAAGTCATTGGCAGCATTTGGGAAGACAATTTTAGAAAAGTATTAGAAAAGACAGACTGTAACTCACTGAAAAATGTACGCTATATGAAAACATTCAAACTTGAACGAAGACTGCTTGTGAGATGTTTGGTTGTAAAGGAGAGGAGAGAGAGATTCAATGGTTTGCATGGGCATCTAGGCAAGCAGTTACCTTGGAATGGTGGGTGGTCTCAAGCCTATAGGCACAGCTAGATAAAAGGGCTACATTCATTCAGCAAATTCAACAAATTCTACCTCCCACGTGCTTGTTAGTAAGTGCTATGGATATAGGAGTAAACAACATAGACAATAATTCCTGCCTTTGTGAAGTGTACAGAATTTAGATACATTAGCCTCACTAGTGAGTACTCAAGAGGATGGTGTGGTTTAGACACTTCTGTTCACTTAGAGCTAAGGTTCATTCACATCACTTTTAATAACCCATTGACAATTGGGTGTTGTTAAATGTTCTTCAAAGCAATTCTTGTCCAACTTGGATGGAAACAACCACAACAGCCACTACAGTAGCAACAAAGGTATGAGGTGCAGCACCAATGACAAGAACAATATTGCTCCATGAACCAGGTGAGATCAAGGAAAAGAGAAGTCCCCAGCGCTAAAGCATCAGAAAACTCCCATTGTATAAATAACCCTGGCACCATTTTTCATCAACTTCTGCAGTAAGAGAGTTGCCCAGATGTTAATCCGCAACTTTCTGTGCTTTTATCTTTATAGGAAATGAAACTTGTTAAAGTTACACTTTTGCATTTTTGCAGGAAACAGCTGCAGTGAATCAGAGCTGATGAAAGGAAAAATGCATCACGAGATGGAGATGACAGAAAACTTTATTAATACATTAAATGTGACACAATTTTTCTTCTTTTAAATAAACTTGACAAATTAGGTGCTTGTCAAAAAAATTAGCTAAGATCCATTTAGGATATACTATTTTGCAGACCTTTTGTTTGCCAATGCAGAACTGCAAGAAATTCTCTTAAAGACTCTTAAGTTCTTTTGAAAATGTTTAATTAGGAAAGCTGCGAGAAAGACAAATTTTTAAAAAGGCTATCATTGAATGGGACAAAAAGAAGTAGACTTCAGCAGAATTGAGTTTTGTGCAGGCATTTTAGCATTGTAACCTAGGATGCATGCTATTGTTTAAATCACTAGTTTTCATGGCAGCTGTACTGATAAAAGTACTTCAGCTGAATTAAATTTAAAGGAGTTTAATTGAGCGATGAACAATGCATGAGATCAGGCAGCCTCCCGAGCCAGAGTAGGCTTGGAGACTCCGGCGCAGTCACGGGGTGGAAGAAGATTCATGGACAGAAAAAGAAAAGTGATGCACAGAAAATGGAAATAAGGTATGAAAACAGCTGGATTGGTTACAGATCGGCATTTGCCTTATTTGAACACGGTTCAAACAGTGGACTACGTTTGATTGACCAAAACTCAGTGATTGGCAGAAGTGTGGGCTACGGTCTGTTTATACCTCCACTTGTTACAGTTACAATGTACAGAAAAACCTGTAAACCAACCTTAAAATACGTAAAGCGGCAGCTTTAGACTAGACATGATTTAACTGGAGTTATCTGGGGAACTTTAAAAAATCTCGAGGCCTGATGCTAGCCCAGAGATTCTAATAATTACATCTGGGCTCAGCTTAGGCATCATGGCTTTGGAAAACTCCCACTTAATTCTAATGTGTATCCATTTGGTAACCTCTATTCTGGATTCCTTCTGTGGAGTCCAAAATATACTAAAACTTAAAGCCCAAACAGTGTGGAGTAAAGTTGTGTCCTTCTTTCTTTCCTTTATTTCCTTTCTTTCCCTCTTTTTCTCTTCCTTCCTTCCTATTTTTCCTTCTTTGTTTTGTTCTTCTGTTTTTTTCTTAACAACAAAGTTACCTATTTTTTCTTTGGTTGCTTGTGTCTCTGGTGTCATATTTAAGAACTCATTGCCTATTCTTATTCTAAGGTAACAAAATATATACCTATGTTTTCTCCTAAGCGTTTTATAGTTTTAGCTCCTACCTTTAGGCATCCATTTTAATTTTTGTGTATGGTGTGAGGTTGGTGTCCAATTTTATTCTTTTGCATGTGGCTATCCAGTTGTCCCACCACAATTTGTTGAAAAGATAGTTGTTTTCCCATTGAGTTTTCTTGGATCTTTACTGGTTATCTCTTAATACATATACTTATATCATTCTCAATTAGGCACTAAGATTTTTGAGGTCAGGGAGCTTCTTTTATCTTTATACCCCTCCATACATAACAGAATGCTTTACCCATAGCAGGTACCTGATGAATGAATGTCTCTTTCTCCAGCCAGATAGTAAGTTCTAAGAGGAGACAACGTACGTATTCTTGCTTAGCATTTTGAACTGCTGAGTAGGCTGAGGTCAATCGAGGATAATTGAAACTTTGCTTTGATTTTGCCACCACATGATTCTATTGTATTCATTTATTACCTGGTCCTTTTTAGCTCAGAACACACAACCAGGTTTTGCATAAAAGGAAACCCAGTGAAGGACTGAAAGACTTAACCTAGGAAAATTTCAGATTTGAACCCCTCCATCAGTGTTTTAGGTTATGCATCAAGAATTTAAAACAAATCAAATTTCATAAATGAACTCATGCTAAATGAATCTGAAGTAACTATTCCTGTGCATTGGATCTTCTACTATTCTCTTGTCAAAGTGAAATTAAAAATACACTTTCTGGGTTTCAAAAGGTGCTAGTACTTCCTACTGGTAGACTTTGACAAGACTTTAAATGTGAAGCTACATTTTGAATAAAAGAGAAAACATGTATCTTGCTCCTCATGATTTCTGTGCTCTGAAAGTGATTTGTAAAAAGAAAGAAAAGGAAATTTCCTACATATTCAATTATAGAGGAATGATATATTTATCTATATTGATTCATGAAATCCTAAGTTGAAATTAATGAAATTATGTATCAATAAGGAAAATATATATAATATACTGTTACATGTAAAAAGCAAATAATATGCAGTGGTTATAACTGAGTAAAAAACCATCCTGTTTGCCTGGGACTATCTTAGTTTTAACATTGAAAATCCTGTATCCCAGGAAATCCCTCAGACTCAGACAAACTGGGATGATTTATCACCTTATTATAAACAAAGATTATAAGAAAACCAGAAGAAAATGAAAAGAAGTTATGTCAGCCTCCTAGTCAATGAGTGCAATTGTTTTTTTTTTTAAAGTTTGTTTCCTTTGTGGATATAACATTATTTTTACAAAAATACAAATTGAGAGGAAAAACTGAGGCTAGAGAATGTATCTTCCACTTCTTAGCAAAGCATGTTTACTATTGGCCAATGCTATTATTTGATTCTATATTGCTAAAGGGGTAATCAGGGAGAAGATCATAGGAATTTTCATTCTTCTTTAATAATAGACATTAAAGGTGTCTCCTATTACAAGAAGTTATGTGAGGTCAGCAAAAACTAATTATTTTTATGACATACATGACTCAAAATTCATAGAGAACCATGGGTTTGGAGAGGAATCCTCATATATATTTCAGAAGTGGAAAAAAAATAAGATAGAAATAAGACCTTGTGTTTTTTGAAAGTTTTCTGATTTTCATTTTTTTCTCAAGCCTCCTCCTACCATGTCCTTTTCCTTCTTCTCTAGTTTCAGGCAAAATCACCTGCCATATATATCCAGTCATTGCCTGGAGTTCTGGGAGTAAGGAATCTATTATCAATGACCTATCCCGTGAACATTTTCTTTGGGAACATGTTTAAAATACATAGACATGAATATTTGATGAACTGACACCTCACATTTCAAACCTAGATTGGGGTTATGTAAATAGGAACTCAAAGGTGTCAGAACCTCCCATGGTCTAATGTTCCAAGAGTAAAGAAGAACAGAGAAACACCCATGTTGGAATCAGCTGTTGCAGAAAAGAATAAAAAGATACTTTTATTAATTTAGAATGAATTTTGAGAACTTTACATAGACAGAAATAATTTTTCTAATTATAGGGAATATCTTCCACTAGTAGTCTCTAAAAATGTAGAAATATCATAGGGAGTGAAAATTACATTGTCCCTTTACTGACCACAGTCTGGCAGCACTCATCATGTAGCAAATACCCAAATAATAGACTATGGATTATAGTGACTTCACCCCAGGTTAACATTTTTCTAGGAAAGGTACTAAGTAAGGTATATCTGAATTGAAAAGTAGGGCAGCTATTGCCTCAGATTTGGTATTTTAATTAGATTGCTTCCAAGTATGATATTCTGAGAATGTCTATAGCACATAGTATCTGCTTTATACAAACTACCAGTTAATTATATATTTATGATGCAAGTAGTTTTCCAAATGTGGTGAAAGTCTCAGCCTGTTTCTCCCCATGGGCAAAATCTGATTCTGATTCTCTTATCTCTTAGTGCTTGTTTAGTGCTGATCAGACTAAGTTCTTGATAAAACCTGTTGACTTGGTTCTCACAGTTTATGCAGACATTGAAGAGACAATTTGGTTATTTCAAACATCACATCTTATTTGAGTAAGAAGACCTGGTTATAAAACAAGGCTCTCATAATTACCAGTTGTGACTGTTGACAAGTTACCTTTTCTTGTTTACAAGTTATTTTACCTCTTTGAATTCCTTGTAAAATAGAGATAGGGATTCTTTCTTGATCATGGAATATCAAATGAAGTTATTTCCTGAAATACGTTGTCATCTGGAAATTATAAATACAACTAAGTGTTGATTATTATTTGAGATTTGGGTACCTCATTGTGGCATTTTCTATGGTCATTTTTTTTTCTTTTCTTGCATAAAGGCTAAAAAAGGTAGACATGCAATCAATAGCCTGGAGTGGGAGTTAGGAAAAGTTAAGGCAGAGACATGTCCACACAAGCTATGCGGTTTCTACGAAAAGCAGATGAGTATTGGCCATTTAGAGCTTCCCTCCCAGGGTGTGTTGACTCTAAGAATGTACCACAGTGTCAGCCCCATAGAAAGATAGATGGAATAGGTTCTGCATTGTTCCTAATTATTGTTATTTTTTATTGTCCTTAAAACGATGCAAAAGGGACTCTGCCAAACACGTAGATGTGGGGAAAAAAAAGTTTAGGGATATCACGGAGCAGTCATATATCCTTTCTATCAGGTACAGAGTCTCCCTGGTTGCTGATAGAGAAAAATGGAAAAACCTATCCAAGGACCAGGTTAGTAGGAAATCACATTCTGAAGCACTCATTCTGCCTTTTTTCAATGTAAGAAAGTTGCACAAAAGAATAATTACGACAATGCAAGCTGCTGCAATGGCTGCATTCTCTGAATGTAAGAGAGGAAGAGCTATGGGCACTCCATGCAGAGGCCAGATGGAGAAGTGGAGGGTATGTGCAGAGTACCTCAAGAAATGAAAGTCAGCATGTCTCCTGGAAGCTATGAACACTAATGTTTAAAAAAGGAAACAGAAAACAGAAGAAATCATTTAAGGGGAGCTGTCATTTTCTATTGGTGAGGATTCCTGATCTTGGGGAGGTTCTGGAAAGTTTGCTTCCATTTCTTCTTCTTCCTCTTGGATTGGAATAATTTCAATGTCTTCTTCATTCTTTGGTTGGGAAGATGTTTCAGTTAGTTCAACCACTTCTTTTATTTCAATGGCCTGTTCTTTTTTTTCTTCAGCTGACAGGAGAACTACGTTCTAGAACACAAAATTAAACAAAATATTCTTACCTTTTACCATTGGCACCTTTGTCAACAATCTCTAGAAACATTTATCAAGTCCCTCCTGGTTTTTATGCTACTTATGTAATTTATTATATGGCTTTAAATGCCAGGATTCATTTCTCGGGTGCTTAAATCCTTATTAATTCACTTATTAAAACTCAAGTCTGAGTAAATCTTCAAGGGCAGTAGACATTTACCACAGTGCCTGGAATGACCACGTGGTATTGAGAAAAGAACACTGCAGTAATAGAGGAGTTTAGCTTTTAGTTCTGATTTGCCTTTAGTGATTATAACTCTGGGAGAATAATTTTCTCTCTTTGATACTATTTTTCTTTAAATGCAAAATGAAGGAATTAGTGATGATTTCTAAATTCTATTTAACAGTCTGGTTCTGAAGCAGTTAGTAATAGATGTATTATTGGTATATTTTTATTTCCCATTTGTGGAACTCCTTTAACTTATTGTTTTGGAAGAGGAATTAGGTGAAAAGGAGGGAAGGGGTAATATTGAAAAATGAAATAAAAGAACTAGTGACTTTAGTCAGCCTTCAACCTTCAACCATTTTGCTTTTACACATTAAATACGGAATCATGAAATCAAGATGAAAGCCTGAAGTCAAGCAGGGATGGTTAGTATAAAAGACACACAGAAGCCAGGTGTGGTGGCTCACGCCTGTAATCCCAGCACTTTGGGTGGCCCAGGCAGGAGGATCACCTGAGGTCAGGAGTTCAAGACCAGCCTGACCAACATGGTGAAACCCCGTCTCTACAAAAATATAAAAATTAGCCAGGTATGATGGCGGGTGACCGTAATTCCAGCTACTCAGGAGGCTGAGGTGAGAGAATCGCTTGAACCTTGGAGGTGGAGGTTGCAGTGAGCCAAGATTGCGCCTTTGCACTCCAGCCTGGGTGACAGAGTGAGACTGCATCTCAAAACAAACAAACAAACAAAAATGTAGAATGTAGAATTGTGGGTTCTAACTACAGACTTATGTGAAATTTCAAGGCATTGTTCCATACTATTGATATTATTTGCTTTCCAGAAATATACCAAGACCATTTTTTTAAAAAATCAAGCTCCTAGTTTCAAAGTCTCATCAGATTACATTCTCCATAAATGATCTTTTGTGGAGGTGGATTTTTTTAGAGGAAGATTGTGGTCAGAGGCGCTGCTACTTACAGATTTGGGTCTGGAGCACATTCTTTTCCATTCATTCTCAACAATGCCAGCTATTACAAGCTCCTGGAAGAAGGCAAAGATCAGCATCACTGAAAAAATCCCCTGAAAAACAACAGAAGAATGAGGGTTAAAATGTAATAATGGCACAAAGAACATTCTTAGTGTTAAGTAAGTTATTGTTGACTATAATTGAATGATTCAGAGATCAATTCTTTAAACAAGTAATGAATTCCTAGCTGTGAGAACTGCTAGTACAGGAGACAGCATCCTTATAACCCTAACTCTTAGCACAACTTTCAGCACACAACAGATGGTTAATGTGTATTGCTGATAGAAGATAAGGTATAAATAATCAGTTGAAGAATCCATTCTATACAGGAAAGGTGAGTCTCAAATTAAATTGTATTCAGTCTTAGGTGGTGTGGCATCATGCCAAGGAGACCTCTTTATTCTTGGGAAATGCATTTTTTTGTCTCCTTCAAACTCTACATTTAGAAGTCCTTGGGCAAAAGATATTCATAATATCTTAGGTATTTCTTCAATGCTAATCTTACTTAATCAAAATAATGACAAATATTAATGTCATTAATGATGCTGGCAATAATTAATGTTAAAGCCAATGCCTGTATAGCAATTCTGTGTACCAGGCACTGTTCTAAATGCTTTGCAGATATTAACTGACTTATTCCTTAGAACAATCCTATTAAATAGTGTTACCATCCTCATTTTACCATTGAAGAAATTGAGGCAGGGTGTGACTAAAATGCTTGCCCAAAACTACATAGGCAGTAACTAGGAAACTCAGGTAGTCTGGATCCAGAGGTAATTCTCATAATAAACAAGTCATCCTTCCTCCCTGGAAAGAAATCCAATTTCACACTTACCAAGAACACTTACCAAGAACAGAGTTTGTATGCTGTAACAGTATTGCATAGATGGAGAGTTTTTCTCAGAGGGATTAACTGGTTCACAGTTGTATATGTTAATAGTTGGCGTGTAAGCTCTAATAAGATTCAGACTCTCCATTTTTAAAAAATGGGAAAGTTTAATATTAAGTATGTCCATGATTGAAAGAATCATTCCAGAAATGGCAGCAAAGAGGCTCAATGAATTAATTATCATTTTTCCTTTGACCTGAAATGGAGACACAGAATTATTAATTAGGTTTGATTTTCCTTTGGAAAACATAATCTGGGAAGGAATTCCAGATGCCACTCCCCTGACTCACAAAGCAACTACAACTAAATATACTGAAGTTCTCTCAGTTGTTTTTAGCCTCTTTGTCACTATAAAATAAAATCATTTTATGCCATTACCATACATTCATTTTATAAAAGCAAAAATTCTAGGAGTAACCCTTGATTCTGTATCTTGTATCCTTGCACTTCCTTCACTGCCACTGCCACCATCCTAGTAGGCATTCAATAAATATTTGTTGAATAGGTGAAGATAAATATGCTTCAGTTTATTATCTTCCTTCATACATAGGTAGAGGGAAGAGAGAGAAGAAGGTTCTTGTATCACACTTCAGTGGGATGGCATTGCGAAGTACAGGTTGGGAAGGTTCAGATAAGAACCATCTAGATCTGTACTATCAAATACATGGAAATAAAAAGCAGAAGCAACAACAGTAACAACACCTACTCCCTGCTGACGTAGGCTGCAATCAGCCCCAGTCAATCATCTTACAAAACACAATTAGGGCTGATGTCTTTTGAGTGACATAGGTAAGAGAATATCAGTGTGGATGTTTTACCTTACAGGGACAATAAAAGGTTGAAACAGGAAATTATATTGACAAGTACCATAATGGTATGGGATTATTGATTATTATTTTAGGCTACACATATTTCATTCCTGGCTCTATGGCCTACCCGTGGTAAGTCAGTAGGTCTGGCTGTATCTGCAGAATAATTTAATTTTCATAAAATTTTTTTCCCCTCAAACTGAGTTTGTCAGACCACTTTAAGAGAGGAACCACCTTAATCCACGCATTCCCTCATTGATTATAAAAGTGACTCAGTTTAGTAAGTAAGAGACAGTGATGGGGGAGGATTTTTGGGGGAGCAAACTTGCTGGTAAGCCCTTTTCATCCATACAGCATCGGCAGCTCTGTAGGCCAGTTTCTTCTGAATGTAGACGAGTCCCTAGGGGTTTTATGAGCAAGACCACAGTGTAGCACCTTATAGCCTCTGAAGCACCATCACACACACTACTGCATTTCTTTTCCATTGTGAGGTCACATGCTAGCAAGGACTGTTACTCCTGCTTTATAGGTGAAAAGTCAGAGGTATGTAGAGATAAACTGACTTGTTCAATGTTACACCCCCAAAATAGCTAGAATTTGAATCAATCATGACATTGATCAGATAATTTTCTGAAATGTTGGTCTGGGAGAAATTGCAGGGCTTTCAGAGAGGTCTATTATTTTCACACAGCATTTAACATAAGACTGTAGGTACAGTTTTCATGGATCTGTTTTTAGTTCTGTTTCCATGAACATCCTTCAGATAGACCTCACTTGTAAGTTTTTCATGAATAAAATCACAGTAACATCATGGATGGTCTTTGCTTTATGGGCTGAGAGTCTGTGTCACGTCAGCTCTTTAAGCCTCTCAGTTTTTGACCAAGAAAATAGGTACTTCTATGACACGTGGGAAAGAAGGACATACGGTTACTTGCCAAACTCTTCCTGGAGTTTTTCTCTGTTGCTGCCAGGAGTGATCCAGAAATAATATACTGTAAAAAGAGAGGTGAGGGAGTTGGAGAGGAGGTGGGCAAAGCAGGAGAAAGGAGAGAGGGAGATCACTTTTTAACGTTGAGAACTGGTCAGAAGCCTGTACTTTCAGCAACTGTCACACAACTATCCACCCATTTTTATCAGGTTTATTCATTATTCAGCAGTCATATTTCTCCTTTATTCAGGCTCAATAACACTCTATTCATGCCTTTTACTCCATCATCTGAGGAGCTGTGACTAGGAATATAATAAGACCAAAGAGACAGAACTCATATTTACTAATCAGTCCATACTCACACCATGAACTTAAAAGTTTTATTTTTACTTTTTCTTTGTTTTTAATTTGTGGAGCTGCTCTTTGGGTTCACAGTGACTTAGATGACTCTGAGGCCCTCTGACGGGTGAACTGATACAGAAGGCAATAGCTGACCTGAATGGCACAGGCACGCCATTAAAACACTGGCTATTACAGGAAATGATGACGACTATTGCTCATCTTCCTTTTCTCACGTTCAGGCTGTAGAATGGAGGAAACTCTTGTTCTAACCCATCTCTACTTGTTTGGAACATTTTAATCCTGGACTTATCTTTATAGTGGCAACTATGAAAAGTGTCATGGGGAAATATACATCACTGTCCTACGTGCCGCACCCAGACAGGGTTACAGATTTGGAAAGCATGTATATAAAACAGCCAAAAGAGTGCTGCTCTGTTGATAAATAAAATGAGATGGATTTGGGATGGGACGAATTTCACCAGGTACCACAGTAACTAAACAGAATTGTAGGGAAGAAGGAGTAGATGGGAGGAATGGATGCTCCTGCTCCCTCTTGCTTTCCAAAACATCTTGCTATCTAGTCCAAATGTCTAGTGCCACCCTCCCAACCAGAACTGCCTTTGGAGAGTTCTTGCTTTGGAAAGTCCCTGTGAGATCCTTGCAGAGCCTCTTACCCTGAATTCACATGAAACAGGACCACTGACTCAACCATGGTGGGATTTATACTCAATTTGGTCACCCTCTCTTCTTAATTACTTTAACCCAATAATATTTCCTACTCATATATTTCCCTCAACTCAGAAATAATCTGGCATATCCCTGTGGAGCCTTTTAACATTTTTGCTTGCACCATTTCCCAAATGACTACCATTCATTTACTCACCATAATGCCTCCCCAGAGAGGATACCACACAGTCACACAGATGGGTGCATACACCCCTGCTGGGATCATCAGAAGACCCCCCAGGGCAATGTGGAAGAGCCCATTCATAATCTGGGCAGCCTGGGGAAAGAAGAAAGGCAGTGATAGATGAGCTGAAAGCATCACTGCTATCAGGGAAAGGCAAGGTTGGAAGACATGGCTCCTGACTTGGAGCTAGGAGGAATACCTAAAGGAACCAGTTGGAGGTGCCAAGAATTTTGTATTTTTCTTGTTTGAATCTGTTGCCTCAACTACAAGTGACATTTCCAGGGAGCAGGTATGCCTGGGGTTCTGGAAATGGACTGGGATTGGAGACCCCTAAATATACAAGCCCCAAAACCACAAGGTGACCTAAGGTCACCCAGAGGTGATCCAGGTGATAACTCCTCTGATGCAACCCTGATTTGGCCCACTGTGTCAGACATAAAGAACACATCAAGTTGGATCCCAGTTCTTCAAGTTGGATTGAATTCTGTATGTGACCTACAGCATCAGCTTCTGTTGGCCACAGAATCCCTATGACATGGGGCATTGAAGGCAACTGACTTACCCCCAAAGCCTTAGATTCCCTCAAGAAGAAGCTTTGCGTGGGACCCACCGATGAAGACATCCTCCCCAGGATTGGTTTTGGACCAGGTTGCGTAGCAATAAGGCCTTTCATTGGCTCTGCTGGGAAAGTCCCATTTACTGAATTTCTGGGTGTTGTCATTTTGCTCTCAAAACTCCTAAAAATAAAACAAATAGCAAAGTGAGGAAAGCAAGAACAAGATTTTTGGCAATTTTACCTTGTGTCATGCAGCTGAATTCTTCTCTCAGCTTTTCCTCCATGAGTGTCATTGAGGGTAGACATGGCCTCTTCTGTGGGACATCAGATCTGAGGCAAGGCCTACTGCTGAGTTCTGAGAAAGGGTGTGGAGAGGTTGCCTTAGGCAAGTACATATGGACCCAGGAGTCCTTGCCAGTGTTTCTGGCAACTGGGTTTGGGGCACACTTTATCTTCGTAGAGAACACCTTGCATATATGACTGCATGTCCTCTTTGTTTCTTATTCCTGGATGCTTTCTTACGCTTTAATATTGGAAAATGTATTTTCTATGGACTTGTCCTTCTGCTTATCTGCCTTTGTCCATTATGATGGGCTAGAGGCAACACTGCAGAGTATCGTGAGGACAATATGTAGAAGCAGGAGGGGTCGATTCCAGGCCTCCCTCTGTCTCTAACTCTGCCACCTTGTGCAAGTCACATCAAGAAGGCTCTCTAGTCTGGGTGCAGTGGCTCACACCTGTAATCCTAGCACTTTGGGAGGCCAAAGCAGGCGGACCACCTGAGGTCATGAGTTCAAGACCAGCCTGGCTAACATGGTGAAACCCTACCTCTACTAAAAATACCAAAATTAGCCAGGCATGTTGGTGCACACCTGTAATCCCAGCTACTCAGGAGGCTAAGGCAGGAGAATCGCTTGAACCCAGGAGGCAGAGGTTGCAGTGAGCTGAGATCGTGCCACTGCATTCCAGTCTGGGCAACACAGTGAGACTCCATCAAAAAAAAAAAAAAAAAAAAAAAAAAAGGCTCTCTAATGTGGTGAGATTGTGGCCTCCTGAGTCAGATTGCCTAGGTTTAAATAGTGATCCCTCTATTTGCTCTGAGATGTTGTGCAAGTTCTTTAAATTCTCTGGGCCTTAGGTTCAACTGTAAAGTGGGAATCATAATTCTCGTGGGCCCCTATAACATTTAACTGGGCTCATGGTCTGTGCATGGCTAGTGTCTTTTTGTTCAGGTGTAGCCCAGATGTCAGCCCCTAGAGAAGCTACCTTGAACCCTCAGTCTACAACATGTACTCCTGTTTGCTCTGTTTTACAAAATCCTATTTTATTTGCTTCATGGCATTGATCACTGTGGGAAATTACCTGATTTATTTACCTGTCTATTGTCTATCTTTCCCCACAAAATCAAAGTTCCATTAAAGTAGTGATTTTGTTCTCTCTTTTTCAGTATCTAAAATATTTCTTGAATTTAGTTACTTCTTAATAAATATTACTGAAAAAATAAATGTATGCAAGGAACCCATGTTGGAATAGTTATTTTTGTTGCTATTCTTGTTCTTCTTTGTACCTTACTGAGCATTCATTTCTATTTTATCCTTCTGTAAAGAACAATAGGCCTCTCTGAGATGCTGTAAGACATAAATAAGTTAACGTATGCAATTGTGCCTATTACAAAAGAAGAGTGTGGTAAATACTATTTATCAGTTTTCATGATTTATTCATTTCTGAAGTGAGAAGTCAATGAATAAGGTCTTTTCCAGCTCAAACATTTTAAGATCCTGTTCAACCTTCATCTTGGGTTTCCTTAGTATTCACTTGTGTATGTTACCCACTTATGTGGACTCTATTGGATCTTTCCTGGAATCTGAAAATTCCGCTTTTGGGGACACACCTTTGATCTTGTCTTTATTGATTGTGAGTCACGTAAGATGTCTTAGAAATCAAGACTGTCTATCCAAGTCACATATCTTACTGAAGCCAGTGCCACATCCCCGCCATTAGACCACAGGCTGAGGTATATCTTACTGAAGTCAATCAGAGCTGAGTGGCTGCAGGTGTGCTGTAAAACAGGCAGCTAGTAGTTACTCACATTTGTACCTGTTTTAGAGTTAGAATTAAATTTTACACATGGCATCTCATCTGAGCCTTATAGGATTGGCAAGGGGTCAATCATCACTCTGTTTTATAGAAGGGAAAACAAGGGCATGGAAAAGTTAGGTTACTTGTTCCAAGTTAGATAATTAGTAAATATTTATTTGTTTGTTTCCATTATAGGGTCTCGCTCTGTCACCCAGGCTGCAGTGCAGTGGCATGATCACAGCTCACTGCAGCCTTCACCTCCTGGGCTCAGGTGATCCTTCTGCCTCAGCCTCTGGAGTAGCTGGGACTACAGGCAAGTGCTACCACACCACATAATTTTTATATTTTTTGTAGAGATGGAGTCTTGCCATGTTTCCCAGGCTGGTCTTGAACAGCTGGATTCAAGCAATCTGCCCACCTCCACCTCCCAAAGTATTAGGATTATAGCTGTGAGCCACCATGCCTAGCGAGTAAAGATTTAAAATTAAGACTTGAACTGCTCAAATGAGGAATCCAGGGTATCAGGCTGCTTTGTCTACTGTGAGAAACAGGAATTCGGCCTTTCCCTTATGAAATCCTCTTTTCTCCCTCCAATATATGGACTATTTGAATAACTATAAATTAATTGAAAATTATTATCTGTTTGGGGCATGGGCTAGTGGGAAGACAAGAAACTTTGGTTTTTCTCACTTGATTTTGCCCCTGACCTACATAGCTAGATGTCACATGGTCCTGGGGATCTGCTTTGTACCACAAGCTACCCTGTAAGACTGCTAACAAAAAGAAATGTTTTAATATAGCTCACTAAAGAGTTTGCAGACTGATTCTGGTCACTAGGTAGGATTTCTAGAGCTAGTGCAAACCTCAGAAACCATTCTGTTCATTTCACAAATGAGGAAACTGCAGGCTGGGTTTAGAATCTGCCTTGGTAAAGACCTCATACTTAGCAACAGAGCCAAGTTAGAACGCAGTCACCATGTCTCTGATGTTGATGCTTTTTCAGCTGTACCACAGGTGAGTCCAGATAATTATAGTTGTTTACTGAGAACCTACTATATACTAGGGATCTTGTATATGGTATTGCTAATTCGGTCAACACCTTCCTAAGTAGGCATTTTGACTACTTTTTGCAGATGTGGAAATGGAGATTCAGAGAGGTTATTTTTCCCAAGGTCCTATGGAAAGTACAGAATGAGCTGGGAGTCACTACACTACGTCCCAGAAGGGTAATTTTAGTGAAGATAACTAAAATGCAATGGTCGTAATTGTTTGAACTGAAGGAGATGATTGGACTGCCATTGTTTTAATTTCATTTTATTCATCAACTGCTTGATTAAAGCCGTGTCTATATTATTGGTGAGAGAAACCTTTTCTGTAAGCCAGTTCTACCTGGGCTGTGCCTGTTGTGACTAATGGCAAGAATAACCATGAGGGCCGTGTGTGTGTGTGTGTGTGTGTGTGTGTGTGTGCGCGTGTGCGCACGCGCGATATTTTCTCTGTTAAAATGGTATCTCATGATGACAACTATATTTCTACAAGCCTTAAATATTTGTATGAAATAGTTTATAAACAGAAACATGAATGTTTTCTCTATTTTTTATTTTTTATGGAAACTATTGCTCTGTCATATATATATCTGATATATATGAGAGGTAAATATATAAATTGATTTATGGCATTGAATGCCATAAATCTGATATATATATATATATATATATATATATATGAGAGGTAAATATATAAATTGATTTGTGGCATTCAATGTTTTTGTTTATATGTTTAGTTCTAATGAAAAACTTTCATTTCATGAGAATTTATAAAAGAATAAAACTAGCCCACACACTCCTATGGAAATTGTAGATTCACACAGTTTTGCCTTATCGTTAAAATAAATTGTTCACAATGACTTAGTGCCCAATGCACAGCTATGCTCAAAGATTAGTTGGTAGATTAGTAGGAGTTATGGACCACATTCACCAAAATATGATAACAATAAGATTTTACATTTGCTGGTGCCAAAATCAGAATGGATATTAAAATCAGGACTCAGGTTATCACTCAGTACCCCCATTTAATTACTCAAACTAACTCCTGCAAATATATATATATATTTAATCATTTTTAAAGGCACCCTTGTTTTCATGTGCATCCACTGAAGAAGAATCTCACAGCCTTCATGGGTTTTGGTGTGAATAGACTTTTATGTCCACTAGTACCATCATATGCTGAGAAGTTTAAAACTGCCTCACTTTTGTTACCTCCCCTTCCTTACTTGCCACTCAAAATAGCTTTGCGTTTTTATCCTTTCCGGCCTCCCGTGCACTTATCTCCGAGGAAGAATGCTGTTGCTTCCCTTTCCTCTGTGCTTTTCAGCGCTTCTCAGTCCACCAAGCTGTCAGCCCTTCCAAGAAATTATTTCTTCTTTGCACCTTCAGTCTCAATTTCTGACGATACGTAGCAGACAGAGTTACTCCCAGCTCTCTTGCTTGCTCCTCTTGTGGTTTAAGGTTAGGATAATAGTTGCCTTCCCCATTTCAAAGTATCATTTTAGGAAAATGAGATAATTTGCAATTGATAAGATGCTAAATGTTCCTTTTATGACTAAAATGTACCGCGGTGTCCCTGAATCCCAAAACCCTCTTCTTTTAATCTAGCAATGTCCTTAGTCACTGCCCAGGCTCCCTTTTTCTTCACCGCAGCTTCTTCAAAGCTGCTACCCACTCTCTTCCCTCACCTCCTCGCCACCCACTCACTCTTCAATGCTTTGCAACTAGTTTCCGCCAGTCACTGGACTGAAACTGCTCTTTGAGGACTGTGCTGCGAAGTCAGTGGTCTTTTCTCAGGCCTCGTTCCTTCAGACTGTTTTATTGTTTCTCCTGCTACCCAGGCTTAGATAATTGGGACCACATTTCACATCAGCTCCGTCATCTCTCACTCCATCTTCATCTTGGCTATTGGTCAGTCAGTGGTCAACAAGTCGTCAAGTCATGCCATTTCTACCTCTGCAGCACATATTGCACGTGGGTCTTTTTTCTATATCCAGTGATACCTGTGAGTTTCTAATTTCCATTCATGATTTAGCACACAACTTTTGCTTTTCTGCCTTCAGTCTTTTTCTTTTCTAATCCACTGTCTACAAGGGTGCTATGTCAAGCTCCTGATCACTGCTTTGAATGATGCTCTTCCTGAGCTTGGACTCCTTTGCTGGCTTGTCATTGCCATGTGATCCCTCAAGGCCTTTGGAATTCAGCCCTGTATGACTTTCCAGGCTCATATCCCACCATTCCCATCAGAGCCACTGGTTTAGACATGTTCTCTACCTTCTTCCCTGAATCCTCTCAACTTTGAAGTGCTCCTTCTCCCTCTCTCTTTACTTTCAGTCCAACTCTTGTTAGATATGCGTATCACTTGAGGGCATTCCTGTTCTCCTAGCCTGATTGCAAGGAATTCTTCAGAGCTCCTAGCTCTTTGCTTTCCTTGCTAAACACCAACTACTTTCTTCAGAGAATCCTGCGTTCTACTAGACTTGCATAAGGAACCTGTTTTCTATGTGCTATGAGCTCGGTAATGTTAAACTGAACATCAAGCTACTTCCTCAGGGCAGGTTTACAAATGCTTACAATGGCCAGGTGTGGTGGCTTATGCCAGTAATCCCAGCACTTTGGGAATCTGAGGCAGGTGGATCACCTGAGGTTGGGAGTTCGAGACCAGCCTGGCCAACATGGCAAAACCTCCTCTCCACTAAAAAATTAACAAACAAACCAACACACACACACACACACACACACACACACACACACACACGAATGCTCACAATGCTGGATTGAAAATTTCTTCTCACCAGATTCTCCATGAGATTAACCCATTATATGGGAAACAGGGAAAGGGAATCACTTATATAGTGGGTTCAGGAAACAGTAATGACATCAATCCTTCTTTTCTTTCATTAGAGCTCCCTCCTATCTCCAGTCTCCAGTGCCCCCTCTCACTCTTTGTTTCCTATGTAACAGATTTGAGGAAGGATTTTGTGCTCAACTTGGTGTCCACAAATCTCCTCCAGATAATGTGAGCCTGTAAAGCCACCTATACATCTAGGTGTATTTACATTTAATGTAGACAAAAGCATTTAAGGGAAGAGGAATTGGATTTTTTTTTCATTATGGCTATCACTGATTGTTTTCTCATTTGGTATTGGGAAGGCCTAAGGGATTCTGGATTTTAGTTATAATTTTCATAATGCAGTGGGTATTACCATTGCCTCCATTTAACAGATGAGAAAGCTGAGGCTTTAGAGGTTTAACAAATTTGCCCCAGTTATATGGCTTGTAAGTGGAAGACCTCCAACAGTTTAGAAACCATGATTTAATCTATATGTTGCAATCTACTACTTTTGTGGAATGATTCACAGTTGACTGCAGAGGGTAATTGTAGAGAGGGAGAGTGGTTAGAGGAGTGAGTGGGAAGCAAGCCTTGATATAATCGCCCCTCCTTAAGTCATAGAACTATTAGGAAGCCTGACTAGGGAAACTAGAATTAAAACCAAGAACCTCCAGTCTTCAAAACCATTCTATACCTTATCCATCACCTCCTTTAAGTCATTTAAAGAAAGCAAATTGATTCCTTACCTGTGTCTCTAAGGCCTCAAGTCTCAAGGGCTGATTTGGATGTTAGCGGTGGAGTTCAGTGGGTGCTGCTAGTATCTCACGCACACTGGAAGGGTGAGTGAGATAGTCCAGGCCTGGGGATGAAATCGCTGATAGATATCAGGTGACAGGAAATCAGTGGCTTCCGCGACCTTGAGCTTCGCTCCGATTACTTTGGTTTAACACTTAACCAAAGTTGAAGGAGGTACAAAAAAAGTTCCTGCCTTACCAGGTTTCACTTCTTGAAAAAGACCCCAGGGGACTGCCTGGCCTGGTTCATGCTACCTTAATTAGATAACTTCTGCAGCCCCCACCCTATAAGCAGGTGTGGATGGTGGGTCCCTAAGGACAAGAAAGAGTCTAGAAGTTGGCCAAAGATGGGCTGTTAGCACTGACTTTTACCTTCTTGCCTCACTTTTAGGGCTGAGTAGGTGTGGAGGGGGCATCCATGCAGAGATTCAAGAATCATGGAGCCTGTACTCTAGGGAGCACTGTCCTTAGGGGTCTCCAAATAGTGTCCTCATTTGCTCACACTCAGATTTCTGATGAACCACGTCTGTATCTCGTGTCAGATTTAGCAGAAATGGCCTAAAAATATACTTTAGTGCGGTAGAACATGTACCGAGCTACTCAGAGCAAGAATTAGCCTTCATATTTGGAGATACACATTGAAATAGCACTTTTACTTCTGAACCCACCTTTTTCTACCATCCATCTAGTTCCCTTGTGTCCCTCTCTTTTTAAAACTAGTCTGGAGCTTCAGGGTCATGAAGCCCAGTACAAGCTCAAGTGGGGAAATGGAAGAAGTTGGTGGTATCAGGAGAGTCTAGATATTTGGGAAGTGAATCAAAGTTTTGCCCATAGATGTTGCCATCTTTCTCCCCCTACAATATTTAACTTTTATGTTCATATGTTGGATTTTTAATTACGTTTTAATTTCCTTGCTCATTGCTTTATTGTTTTAGAGACTCAGAGCTGTAGTGAGGTAACTATTTGTTCATTTAATCTAAAAGGATGAAATATGGCAGGCATCTCTGTTGCCTAATCTGAGGTTCATTCCTGTCTCTCTCTTTCGTCTTTCATCTCTCCTCTCTTTCTCTTTTGGTCTCTCTTTTTAAATTTAAGACAGTTTGGAACCATGCAGTTAGATCCACTGGGTAGAAGTCGTTCTGGGGAGGCTAATTGTGGTGTGATATTAAGAAATATGCCACCTTTTCTTTTTCTTATCATTGGAGTGGTTCATTAGAAGAACTGGCTACCATTTGAATAGAGAATTTAATGTCTTCAAGAATATTCAAGTAAAAGCCATGCAGTCACCTCTCAGAAATGCTGTAGAGTGAAGGAGAGTGGGGACAGAAGATCCAGCATCCATTGAACATTCTAATTGCGGGTCTGTGTATACCAGCTGAAATGCTTGAGTGGTTGGCGATGGAATGGCCATTACTTAGGGTCTGAGCTGTGGATGATTGTGAAACCTGAGGTTTGAGTCCAGGATGATGGGGTGGTTAGAGGCATGCGCCTTCATTTTAGTTGACGTGGGAACAGAGTCAGAACTTGGCAAATGTGTGGCAGCAAAGGGGCTTGAGTTGTGGCTGCACAACCTGGTCTTTTGCATCCTTTTCTCCGTTTGAGCCCTGTTTTTTCCCCAGTCAGTCTCGGGCTGTTTGCTACTTTGTGCCCGACAAGATAACTTAAGGTGGCTCTGCATATGATTCTTCCCAAATAAACTTGAATTTGAATTGGTATTAATACATAAATGTTTACCTTATCTTTGCTGATTTTGAATGATCATTATTTTAGTGCTTGAGTGTGTTGAAATTCCCACTACAATTTGGATTTGTCAATAGCATCTTATTTGACGTATCACCATCACCCTTCCCCTAAGGTTTGAGACTATTTTATTAGTTTAATAACATATTTAAAATACTTCTCTTTGAATTAAGCCTATTTTTATTGTCTAGTGGCCTTGTTTCCAAAAGACAATCTCTTTCTTAAAGTCTGCATAAAGTATTCCAACTTATATCTAGTTAGTATTTTCCGGATGTGAATTTCCTTTTTATTCCCTGCATGTTCTAGCACTCCAGGTTTTTTTTTTTTAATCCTCACCCTCTTTTATGAAAACTATAGCTACATCATCATTTGTGTCCTTGCCTTACTTAGCCATTGTCTCCTTATCCCTCGAAAACAGGATCAGTTTTTCTGATTGTCGTGTCCCTGCCAGTGCTGAGAAAGAATGATTCTGTTTGGCTCTTTCTTTCACCCAGGTGATCATCACCAGCCTCTCCAATATTAGGAAGTAACATTATGCCATGTTCCCAACTGCTCAGCAAGGCCCTGGCACACAAAATTATCTGCTATTGGAGGGTTTTAGGGTCAGAGAATTGGTAAGGGAGACACAGGGTTCCTCAGAGGTGAGGCTAAAGATCTAATTGCAAATAGAACTTGGTTACAGGTCAGAAAATCCCACTGCTGCACTTATAATTCATACTAAGGTAAATGTAAATTCAAGTACTTAAGAAACTTATGGTTTATAGGATCATCTTTCTGTTCTGAGGGACTACTTCCGTTTGAAACAGCTAGGAAGGTAATATTAGTTGAATAATTGCGTATATTTGAAGAATTGTCCACAAAAAAGTCTTAAAACACATATAATATTGATTCTGTTTTATAATTGTGGAAACTAAAGTTCAGGAAATGGAGGAAGCCAGCCCCAAGTTGCAAAGCTGGTAAATAATAAAATGTGATGTTGAGAGCAAGAAAATCTAAATATAAATTTTCAAAACTACCATTTACTAAGGGATTTTTAAGTTCCAGGCACTGATAAAATCACTTTCCACATTCCATTTAAGGTTCACAGTAAACCCAATAGTTAGGTATTATTATTATTGCATTCTAGTCTCAAAATTTTAAGCCCACAAAGATTAATTTGTTCAAGTGACACAGCTTTAAATGGCAAAACATTTATTATTGTTAGTTTTAAGACATAAAAATGTCTAATGTACTCCCACGTGCAGACTCCTGGATCATTCCATTTGCTTTTGTTATGTGGGAATATAGCTGAAAAAACAAAATGCAATTATCTGGCCTCACAGTTATTGAAAAGATTTTTTTCTCTTATGCACTAATAAATATGCTATCATTGGAGACTGATATGTAATAGAAACATTTTTCTGCAGATGTTGACTATAAAAATATCATTGTATAATAAAAATTTATTGAAAATAATGATGTCCATTTGCTTTCTCAATTATATTTCTCAAAAAATTAAATAATATAGGCCAGGCATGGTAGCTCACGCCTATAATCCCAGCCCTTTGGAAGGCTGAGGTGGGCAGATCACCTGAGGTCAGGAATTAGAGACCAGTCTGGTTAATATGGCCAGACCCCATCTCTACTACAAAAATTAGCCAAGCATAATAGTGCATGCCTGTAATCCCAACTACTTGGGAGGCTGAGGCAGGAGAAACACTTGAACCCAGAAGGCAGAGGATGCAGTGAGCTGAGATCATGCCACTGCACTCCAGCCTGGGTGAGAGCAAGACTCCTTCTATAAATAAATAAATAAGTGATAGAGTATTTATAACAGTGAGACAAAAAACCACATATCCACAGCCATGATTAGAGATGCGAGAGTGTCGCTGATACCTTTGAAGGCGCTCATGTCATCCTTCCCCAAGCCACCCTCTTTATCAGAGCTCACCATTATACTGAATTTGGTGTTTTTCACTCTCCTCCTTTTCATTTTATTTAGTCTTTCCACATGTGTTTATATTTCACACAACATATTGCTTAGGTTTTGTGTCTTCTAATCATTATTTAGGTAGAATTAGTAAGGTGTTCTTATGTGACTTGCTTTCTTTTACTCAACATTAAATGTGTAAAATTCATCTTTGTCGATTTGTGTCAAGTAATGTATTTTTACCAATATGTGATCCTCCAGTAGAGAATGCAGCACAATTGATCTGTTCTCTGTCCATGGACATTTGAGGTGTTGCTGACAATCCTGCCCTGAAAACATTTGTATGTGTCTTCCATTGCACATGTGCAAGAATTTCTCTTTTGTATATTAACTAGCAGTGGAAGTTGGGTGATAAAGTATGTGTATCTTTACCTTTACTGGGCAATTAGTTTTTAAAGTGGTTGTCTTCATTTAGACTTGTACCATCGTGGTAGGAGAGTTCCTTTTATTCCATAATTACTTAAGAAATAGAATGCTTTTCATATGTTAACTTTTGTTTTCCTCTCCTGTGAAATGGCTGTATATGACTTTGGAGTAATTTTTCATCAAGTTGTATTTTTCTATAAATGTATAGTAGGATTTTATATATTCTATATCACCTTATTTTTGTTGGTTATTTGTGTTACTTAAAGGCTTTGATTTGTAGCTGCTCTTGTCACACTTATAAAACATTCTTAATAACAACCAAGTTGGATGTATCAGTTCTTTCTGGTACTATTTATGTTCTGAGATCTGTTTAAGAAATTTTTTTACTACCTTGACCTCACAAAAAATTCTTCTACCTTTATTTTTAATAATTTTAACTTTTTAAAAAATAAATTTTATTTTAGGTTCAGGGGAACATGTGCAGACGTTTTATGTAAGTAAGTGGCATATCACAGGAGCTATATATATAGGTAATTTTGTCACCCAGGTAATAAGTGTGGTACCAAATAGGTAGTTTTTTGATCTTCACCCTCCTCCCATCCTCCACTATCAAGTAGGCTCCACTGTCTGTTGTTCCCTTCTTTGTGTACCTATGTACTCAATGTTTAGCTACCACACACGCAGTATTTTGTTTTCAATTCCTGTGTTAGTTTGCTTAGGATGATGGCCTCCAGCTTCATGTATGTTGCTGCAAAGGACATGATCTCATTCTTTTTTATGGCTACATAGTATTTCATGATGTATATGTACCATATTTTCTTTATCCAGTTTGCTGTTGATAGGCATTTAGATCGATTCCATGTTTTTGCTATTGCAGATAGTGCTGCAATGAACATACACATGCATATGTATTTATGATTACAACAACTTATATTCCTTTGGTTATATACCCAGTAATGGGATTGCTGGGTTGACTAGTAATTCTGCTTTGAGTTCTTTGAGAAATTGCTAAACCACTTTTTTTTTTTTTTTTTTTTTTTTGAAACGGAGTTTCGCTCTTGTTACCCAGGCTGGAGTGCAATGGCGCGATCTCGGCTCACCGCAACCTCCGCCTCCTGGGTTCAGGCAATTCTCCTGCCTCAGCCTCCTGAGTAGCTGGGATTACAGGCACACGCCACCATGCCCAGCTAATTTTTGTATTTTTAGTAGAGACGGGGTTTCACCATGTTGACCAGGATGGTCTTGACCTGTCGACCTCGTGATCCACCCGCCTCAGCCTCCCAAAGTGCTGGGATTACAGGCTTGAGCCACCGCGCCCGGCCTAAACCACTTTTTTACAGTGGCAGAACTAATTTATAATCCCCAGCAGTGTATAAGCACAACAACTTGCATCTACTATTTTTTGACTTTAAGACAACATTTAAACCTAGTTCTGACTTAAAAGCCCAAGACTTTGCATCTTTAAATATATCTTAAGCCTCACACATCTGTATGTCATTCAGTTGCCAAATATTTTTCATCAGAACCGAACTTCACTGAAAGTAAAAAACTTAGTTGTTTTTTTTTTCTGCCATTTTGTGTTCCCTCATTCTCACAAATGTACCTAGAACCTAAGCTTCTTCCAGTAAATAGCAGAAATGAAAGCCTGTTACTTATTTCTTTGAGTTTGCTGAGTTTTTTTTATGCCATAAGCAACATAGGATAATGAGATTTGAATTTAGGGACCTTGACTCAAATCCTCTTTCTAAATCATACTCCCTTTCTGAAAAGTTAACCACTTTGAGTCTTAATTTTTATGACTATGACAAATGACATACATACCCTGAGAGCTGTCAAGACAAGTGAGATGATACAGGTAAGATCTCTAATACTTAAAAGGTAGTCAGCCAGTGAGAGGCAATACTGTATAAGGTAGTGGTTCTCAAAGTGTGGTCTGAGATTGCTTGGGGTCCTTGAGACCTTTTTAGGTGCTCTATAAATTAAAAACTGTTTTTATAATAATACTAAGACCCTATTTCTCTTTTCACAAGTTTATAGTGGTATACTTCATAGGCTACAGCAGGCGTCCCCAAACATTTTACACAGGGGGCCAGTTCACTGTCCCTCAGACCGTTGGAGGGCCGCCACATACTGTGCTCTTCTCACTGACCACCAATGAAAGACGTGCCCCTTACTGAAGTGTGGCAGGGGGCCAGATAAATGGCCTCAGGGGGCCGCATGTGGCCCACGGGCTGTAGTTTGGGGATGCCTGGGCTACAGGATGTGAAATATAACAGATTAAGTGCAGATGCTGTTAAGAGAATCCAGAGGAAAGTAGTGCCTTCCAAACTTGCTTGGCATTGGAATTAAGGCCTTGGATTCTGGAGCCAACCGCCTGTTGATATTATGGCTCTGCCATTGCAAACTTTGTGACCTTGAGCAAATTACTTAACCCCTCTGTGCCTCAGTTTCCTTTTCTGTAAAATGGGTATGATAATACAGTTCACCTCCTAGGATTTTTGTGAGATTAAATGAGTAACACTACGTAATACTTAGAATGATGCCTGGAATATAGTAGTGGTTCCACCAATATTTGCCCTCACTATTTTTACTATTGTTGCTATTCTAGTTGATTAGCTCTTTAACATCGATGATCTTACAGCATTAATGTAGAATTTGTGGGCCAAACCATTCCTCCAACCAACTCATCTTTCCACACACCATTTGAGTAGGAGCCACTGGCTAGAATCTCTTAGCGAAATTAACAGGCGATGTCAACAATCAGAGAAGTTAGATGACTGGATCATCCCAAACTCTGGCCTTCGGTTCATATCTTTGCAACACCACATTGCTGTCCTTCAGTTGAATGCATGACTAACAGAAGTGACAATACCAAGATGACCATTTGATTTGGGGAGAGGGGCAGATGGCATTGCCAAGAGGCAGGATGCGCTTTATCAGTCAAAATGTCCCCAGAACCTCCCTCTCTTAAGCTTGGGGAGTTTCACTCAGGGTGGTGGCAAAAATATTAAGGAAAAAATATTAGCGATAGCTCTAAGGAATAATCACACACCTTCTTAGAAGGCTGAGAGGTTTTCGCATAGTTTCAGTAGAAGTTTCAACTGAAAGCAATCTAAATCCCCTTTACATTTAGTTAATAAGAAAAGCAAATAGCTAGGGCATATGGGGGGTTTATTTGAATAACTTGTTTACTCATGTGGTCTTAAAACTAAACTTTGAGCTGGATGGCCCTCTTGTGGGGAGGTCGACTGGGGAGATTACCCTCTAATTTCTTTAGGCTCAGAACCTGGCCTTTAATCTTACTCTGCAGGTGTGTTGACTTAAGAGCCTCTGTTATTAAATTTTACTGAATTAATGTGAGTCTCATTGGCTGGTGAAGGCTGGCAGTCACAACTGTTTACAGCACTCTCCAGGGAGTCTGCAAGCAACCCAGACACTCAGTCAAACTGGCAAAGCATAATATCTGTGTGTCAGCATACTTTATTCATCCATTGTTGAGTCCGGGTTTGCAGGACAGACCCCCGCAGGTGGTGGCCCTGACATTTGAGCCACATCCCTTTGCTTCAGAGTTCTCAGCCTTAAGATTCTATATGTCCTTTGGCTTTTCCTTACAAGCAGAAGTCATTGCTAAATAATATTATGACACATCTTTATTCCCGTAGTGCTAGTCAACAACATTGATCACAATCGCAGTCATCTGAGTGGCACCCCAAAATTGAGAAAGGCAGAGAAATGAATAATTCAATAATGCTGAAAGTCATCAATGTAATCAAAATTCCCTGTAACAGAAGAAGAAAACAAAGAGTAATGATGTTAGTGCAGTAATGGTTTTTCTGATGATAATGATGTAGTGATGCCCACGTAATAAAAACTCCCCCATGTATCTCAAGTGTATCTGATGCTTAGGAATCAAATCAGTGGAGGATCATGGGAATATACATTTATTTTAGCATACCATAGCATAGAATATTATATTTTTAGAGAAAGGCATATAAAATAATATGATTTTTGATTTGTATATGTAGGAAATACTCCATTTTATAAATGCATGAAATGCAAAGAAATGCATATATAAAAGGTGGTCTAATGAACAGGAAGGAAAGAATGTGAAGAAACAGGATCAAGATGGAATTAAAAATAAAAAAGGAGGCTGGGCCCAGTGGCTCATGCCTGTAATCCCAGCACTTTGGGAGGCCAAGGCGGGCAGATCATGAGGTCAACAGATCAAGGCCATCCTGGCCAACATGGTGAGACCTAGTCTCAACTAAAAATGTAAAAATTAGCTGGGCAGGGTGGTGCACACCTATGTTCCCAGCTTTTTGGGAGGCTGAGGCAGGAGAATCTCTTGAACCCGGGAGGTGAGGTTGCAGTGAGCTAAGATTGTGCCACCACACTCCAGTCTGGGTGACAGAGTGAGATGCCATCTCAAAAAAGAAAACAAGTGTATTTTATCTTTTTTTCTTTCCACATCAAGGCATATCACATTTTTATCACCCCAGTAGGTTCTCTTGTGTCCCTTCCCAATCAATTCTCCCACCCGACTGAGAGCCAACCACCCTTCTGATTTCTAACATCACATGTTAAACTTGCCCGTTTATTTTCTATCTGAAATTGTTTGACTCAATATAATAAATTGAAATTCATTCATGCTGCTTTATGTGTCAGTATGTTCTTTTATATTGCTGAAAAGTATTCTATTATTTGAATAATTATATATAAATTATATATATTTTTAGCCATTCTGTTGTTGATAGAAATTTGAATTCCTTACCAGTTTTAACTATGATGAATAGGGCTGCTATAAACGTTTTCATATGTATCATGAGACATAAAGTAGGTGTATGATTAACTTTGTTAAAAAACACCAAATAGTTTTCCAAGTGGTTGAACCATTTTACATTACCATTTTCCATTTCCACCATAAGGTTTAAGAGTTCCAGTTGCTTCACATTCCTTCCAACACCTGGTATTGCTGGTCCTTTTAATTAAAATGATTCTAGTGGGTATGGAGTAGTGTCTTATTGTGATTTTAATTTGTATTTATCTGATGATTAATAATGTTGAGCATGTTCTCACATGCTCACTAGCTATTCATTCATCTTTCTTTGTGAAATATTTGCCCAAGTCTTACTCTCTATTTTTGGCCTTTTATTATTGATTTTTGGGAAGGCTTAATATATTCTGGATATGGGTATTTTGTGAGATTATATGTATACATATGTATATAATATAATATACATATATAATATATAATATATATATAATATACATATATAAATATATGTATAATAAATATATATTATATAATATATATTATATATATATAGAGAGAGAGAGAGAGAGAGAGAAAGAGAGAAAGAGAGAAAGGGAGAGAGAGAGGAAATTTTCTCCCTTTCTGTACTTTGGTAGTTCATTTTATTTTATTTTTCCCCTCTGGTTAGTCCTTTTAGGTTCTATCTAAGAAAGCTTAGTCTACTCCCAAGGTGGTGAAGAAATTCTCCTAAGTTCCCTGCAGCTCACCTCCTCAAGCTTTATAGTTTAGGATTTCACATTTAGGTGGATCACTGATTCATGTTTGAATATAAAATCAATTGTGTACTTCTGGTGTCCAGTGACTTGGCCATGGCATATTATCATGTAAAATGCTGAATTTGATTTTCTAATATTTTGTTTCAGATTTATTCACGTTTACAAGATAGAATTATCTGTAACTTTTAAATATTTTATAATGTCCTTATCATATTTTCATGTCGAACTTGGGAAAGACAGCCTCACAAAAATACTTGTGAGTTGAGAAGTGAACTTGGAAATAGTTTAATGTTTCTTTTCTAAATGTTTGGAAGAATTAGTCTGCTCCTGCAAGGCTTTGCTTTCTCTTTTTTGAGAGAAAGTTTTAACTTATGTGTTTGATTTTTTTATTAGATATAAGACTAGTCATATATATATATATTTTTTTCTGTGTTAGTCATGGCAGGTGGTTTTGCATAGTTTTGGTAGGTAGGTTTTATAGGGAATTTGTCAATTCATTTAAAGCATCAAATATTTTTTATGATCATTTCATCTAAAGCATCAAATAATTTTTATGTTCATAATATTCTTGTATATTCCTGGCTATTGTATTTATAGTGATATACCATCATTTCTGATAATGATAATTTGTGTTTTCTCTTTTTTTAATACCTAGTTTATAAATTTTATTAGTTTTTCAAACATCAAAATTTTAGCTTTATTTTATCTTATCTATTGTTTGTGTTGTAGTTCATTAGTTTTTTATTTATTTTATTATATTTTATTGCATTTTAGGTTTTGGGGTACATGTGAAGAACATGCAAGATTGTTGCATAGGTACACACATGTGTGGTTTGCTGCCTTCCGTCCCCTCACCTGTATCTGTCATTTCTCCCCATGCTATCTCTTCCCACCTCCCCACCCCCCGTCCATCCCCCATTTCCCCCCAACGGACCCCAGTGTGTAGTGCTCCCCTCCCTGTGTCCATGTGTTCTCATTGTTCAACACCCGCCTATGAGTGAGAACATGTGGTGTTTGATTTTCTGCTCTTGTGTCAGTTTGCTGAGAATGATGGTTTCCAGGTTCATCCATGTCCCTACAAAGGACGTGAACTCATCGTTTTTGATGGCTGCATAAAATTCCACGGTGTATATGTACCACATTTTCCCTATCCAGTCTATCATCGTTGGGCATTTGGGTTGGTTCCAGGTCTTTGCTATTGTGGACAGTGCTGCAATGAACATTCGTGTGCACGTGTCCTTATAGTAGAATGATTTATAATCCTTTGGATATATACCCAGTAATGGGATTGCTGGGTCAAATGGGGTTTCTATTTTTAGGTCCTTGAGGAATTGCCACACTGTCTTCCACAATCGTTGAATTAATTTACATTCCCACCAACAGTGTAAAAGTGTTCCTATTTCTCCACATCCTCTCCAGCATCTGTGGTTTCCCGATTTTTTAATGATCACCATTCTAACTGGTGTGAGATGGTATCTCAATGTGGTTTTGATTTGCATTTCTCTAATGACCAGTGATGATGAGCATTTTTTCATATGTTTGTTGGCCTCCTGTATGTCTTCTTTTGTAAAGTATCTGTTCATATCCTTTGCCTATTTTTGAATGGGCTTGTTTGTTTTTTTCTTGTATATCTGTTTTAGTTCTTTGTAAATTCTGGATATCAGCCCCTTGTCAGATGGGTAGACTGCAACAATTTTTTCCCATTCTGTTGGTTGCCAATTCACTCTACCGACTGTTTCTTTTGCCGTGCAGAAGCTGTGGAGTTTGATTAGGTCCCATTTGTCTATTTTGGCTTTTGTTACCATTGCTTTTGGCGTTTTGGTCATGAAGTCCTTGCCTACACCTATGTCCTGAATGGTTTTGCCTAGATTTTCTTCTAGGGTTTTTATGGTGTTATGCCTGATGTTTAAGTCATTAATCCATCTGGAGTTAATTTTGGTGTAAAGTGTCAGGAAGGGGTCCCGTTTCTGCTTTCTGCACATGGCTAGCCATTTTTCCCAACACCATTTATTAAACAGGGAATCCTTTCCCCATTGCTTGTTTTTGTCAGGTGTGTCGAAGATCAGATGGTTGTGGGTATGTTGTATTTCCTCTGAGGCCTCTGTTCTGTTCCATTGGTCTATATCTCTGTTTTGGTACCAGTACTATGCTGTTTTGATTACTGTAGCCTTGTAGTATAGTTTGAAGTCCAGTAGTGTGATGCCTCCTGCTTTGTTCTTTTTGCTTAGAATTGACTTGGCTATGCGGGCTCTCTTTTGGTTCCATATGAAGTTTAAGGTGCTTTTTTTCCAGTTCTGTGAAGAAGGTCATTAGTAGCTTGATGGAATAGCATTGAATCTGTAAATTACTTTGGGCTGTATGACCATTTTCACGATGTTGATTCTTCCTAACCATGAACATGGAATGTTTCTCCATCTGTTTGTTTCCTCTCTTGTTTCGTTGAGCAATGGCTTGTAGTTCTCCTTGAAGAGGTCCTTTACGTTCCTTGTTAGTTGTATTCCTAGGTATTTTATTCTCTTTGTAGCAATTGTGAATGGCAGTTCGTTCTTGATTTGGCTCTCTTTAAGTCTGTTACTGGTGTATAGGAATGCTTGTGATTTTTGCACGTTGATTTTGTATCCTGAGATTTTGCTGAAGTTGTTTATCAGTTTCAGGAGATTTTGGGCTGAGATGATGGGGTCTTCTAGATATACAATCATGTCATCTGCAAATAGAGACAATTTGATTTCCTCCTTTCCAATTTGGATACCCTTTATTTCTTTTTCTTGCCTGATGGCTCTTGCTAGAACTTCCAGTACTATATTGAATAGGAGTGGTGAGTACTGAATAGGAGTGGTAAAAGAGGGCATCCTTGTCTAGTGCCAGATTTCAAAGGGAATGCTTCCAGTTTTTGCCCATTCAGCATGATATTGGCTGTTGGTTTGTCATAAATAGCTTTTATTGTTTTGAGATACGTTCCGTCAATACCTAGTTTATTGAGGGTTTTTAGCATAAAGGGCTGTTGAATTTTGTCAAAAGCCTTCTCTGCATCAATTGGATAATCATGTGGTTTTTGTCTTTGGTTCTGTTTTTGTGGTGAATTACATTTATGGACTTGCATATGTTGAACCAGCCTTGCATCCCCAGGATGAATCCTACTTGATCATGGTGGATGAGCTTTTTGATATGCTGCTGCAATCAGTTTGCCAGTATTTTATTGAAGATTTTTGCATCTCTGTTCATCGTAGATATTGGCCTGAAATTTTCTGCT